TTGAGATTGAAATCCACAGCATGCCTTAAGAAAGTATCATGCATTGTCAAAGAAACAGTAAATTGTATCACGCAGGGTTTGCAATCGATAAATATCATAAAGTAAATTGAAGGATAAAAAACTAATTAAATGTTCTTCAACTAAATTTGAAATTGAAAGAACCATATTAAATAATTTGCATGATGGAAATATTCACTCTTCACTTATCTATGTTTGTCTACAGTACTATACGACTTACCTTACAGACCCTAGAATTAAATATGTTACACTAACATAAAATATTATAACGAATTGCACGCAAAGTATGTTTTTCTAACATTTTTTAAAATACTCTCCTTTTAATATTATTATCCAACGCGTTACTTCGTTTCGTACGTTTCGTGATAAATCAATATTACCGAATAAAACGAGGTGTAAAAGAACAAAGCAACAGATAACGTAGATGTGTGAAACATAACAAAAAAAGCAGTTTCGACGTTATAAAAAAAATAATACATAATTCAATGTACACTGATGCCGATAAAGATAGGAACACTGAACTCTAATCAAGGAAAGTAATGAAAAATAAATGTTCAAATTGTATTCAAATTTTTCCTTGAAACATTACTTTCGTATATCTTCGAATGCGGTTTCGTACTATAGTCATGCATTTTAAGCCATCAACAGTAAAAAGCAAGATTACGAATCTCAAAATGAGTAAAAAAAAGATTTAAATACACACCCTGTTTCGCTGGCTGGTTGATTGTTGTTATTGGTCGATTCACCATTCACGTTGTTATTAATTGTGTTCGACTCGTCGTTTTGCTGTAACTCCTGACATGTACCCAATAACGTGGACCATTGTCTCATCACCTCTTGACCCTGCGCTTCCAATTCGGACAGAATGGTAGCATTATCCATATCTTGCAATGCCTTGCCTGTGTCGCCTCTAAAATCACACGATATCCCGCTATTAAATCCCTATCCATTACGAACCAGATAGAAATGATTGCATTAACATACAAGACAGGATACTAACCGATGTTGCTGTTCGTCGTAGGAACTGGCATCGCTCTGTTCATAATCCAATATCAAGTCATCGGACGCAATAGATTCACAAGGAGACAATGTGTCGACACTGTTAACTCGGCTTATTCGTTTGCCATGATGAGGACTGTTAGTTGCATTTTTCACAATGCCCGCACCTGGAAGAAATGATTTACGAACGTCAGTCTCATTATCGCTATTTCAAGAAAAATAATAAAGTGAATATAAGAAGTAGACTGAACGATATGTACCTGTTTTCGGGCTGGATTCGACCAAAGTGTGACTGTTCTCGGTAACGACTTGACTAGTCATAGCAGATTGCGCCTCGATGCCAGCCCTCGAGCTGTCGCCAAAAATGAGCCCGGGTTGATCAGCGATCTCATCGTCAAAGTATTCTCTGCCTTCCGATAAACTTAGCGAATTCGAGGCATTTGTTGGAGTACCAGGACTATCATCGTCAATGATATTTCCAGATTGTTCCAATGGGTTCTCCTTCTTCAGAGCCTTTACGTCTGACTGAGTAATACTGGCTGTAAGACTATCGAAAAGACTATCGACTGGCGAGGTCTCGTCATCTATCAACGTCGTCGACGTAGCAGCGGCCGCGGCGAACGCAGGATCCTCGATGGTAAGGAGTACAGAACGCAAAACACCTTTAGGAACTGTTCCATTCTTGGCTGCGTTCGACGTAACTTGTAAATGTTGAGTGGAGATGGATCGTTGGCACTCGTCGCTGGAACTTAACGAATATTCGTCGGCCATGGCTTCTCCGTGACCGTATTCAGCATCGTCGGAGCTCAGTGGACTGAAGTCTGACTTAATAGAAGGAATCTTCTCGGAATGTGATCTGTCTTTATAAACCTTCTCCTCGCCCAGTCCTTCGTCGTAACCCTCAGAAGATGTAGTAGACATAGACGTCGTTGATTCGGTATACCTATTGTCTTTATTGACGATCCTCTGATACTGAGTGGTTCTCTCTCGCACCAGTCCGGTGCTGGCCGTAGTAAACGTTTTTGGCAAGGGTATAACCGATATCTCGGTTACTGTGCTATCGTCGTCCCTGACATCCCTAACATCGAAACTCTTTCCGTTTACAACCATCTTCAAATTCCTCGGTCTACCTATGCCGCGCCTTCTTGTTAACGATCCATCAGTGTAATCCACGCCTCTGGATTCGTGTTCACCGAGGCAACCGAACTGACTTCCGATGCCCGAATCTTCTGTACTTGAGCCCTCCTTGGAGCTCGTCGAGCCTTTCGACGCAGCGGATACCTTTCTGCTTTGATTCGCCGCAGTTTTCGCGATCTTCGAGTTCGCATCGGTCATTTTTACAGCATACTGCGGTAGCGGCAGGTGGCTCGTGTGTAGAGTGTATCTTCCTACTGGCTCCGGAATACCTGATACTCTGCGATTTCCATCAACTTGCGCAGTATTCGTGGTACTGTACGAAGTCGAAGTATGCACGGGTGACGCTTTTACTTTTGATACTGGTGTCGCGTTCGAGACTTGAGCGGTCACTCTGTGCGGTTGTTTCACGAAACCCTCCTGTTGCTGCTGTTGTTGCAGTTTTTCTTGATTGTAATGACTAACGCTGTGACTGCTGCATATGTCGCTGACTTTGTTCGTGAATTTTGGTTGCGAGGACCGGTAGCCGAATCGATTAGTCCTGACGGCGATTCCGCTGGACTCTCTCTTCGGTGGCGCGAGCCGCGGCGTCGATCGACCGGAAGACGACTTGTGAACCGCGCTAGCGACGGCGTCCTCATCGCGTCTACGGTTTTGCTCAGGTCCAGCCGATTTCGATCGCGGGTGCAGCAGGCTCGGTTCGGTGGTATATGTGGTTATCGGCATCGGTATCCCCGAGGTCGGTCGTCGTCGAAAGCCGAAAGACATTGCCGTACCGCGCGTATGCGAGCCGCCATGCTTCGACGCGCCCTTATGATCTTTCTGAAACATCAACAAAAGAAATCGCTCGATAGTAAGAAGGTCGAGAATTCACAGAATCTTTTAGCAACGCGCAGACTTTACGTCATTTTCACTTTCTCTGCTAGCATCTAACGATCGATAAAACAAACGTGTAGGTACACACTCCATTTATGTAGCCGTTTCCATCACGGTCGTCATTTTTACTTTTCTTCGCCCGCGAGAGGGAAAAACTTGCGGCTATAAATTTATCGGTATCTAACTTTATTAATAATTAATTCCTAGCCGATACAAGATTGATCATCCTCGATCAATAGTTCGTCCACTTCCTCCATAATAGAAGGATGCAGTTCTTGCAATATTTTTATAATTTCAAATAGATTTGTCCTATCATAAAAAGTACTAAAATGATTAGTCAGTTTATTTCTATGTAGAGAATGGATTAATGATATCGTCGATGTTTTACGACTTTTACATAACTAATTGTATTATTACGTACGCTACAATCTGTCTGACGTTAATATGTAATATCTTTCATGTATAAATTGTAAATAAAATGTAAAAGTGTGAAAATAAACGGACAAATAACATACATTATTACGCAATTTTTATTCATGAAACATACATGCCATGTACTTTATGATATTCTTCGATTCGGAATAAGTTGATAAACTTCCAATAAATTTATGATTAATCAATCCCGCCTGATATATTTCGAGGTGTAACGTGTTGATACTGCACTGATTAAACGTAAAGCTAAAAGTTCAAAACCATGAAGTAGTAGCCCAATTCAAAATCCAGAAATAGAGCAACTGCGTCCCCAAATCAACTAGTTTCTCTATGCTTTCTGTTTCACAACGAGACAGTCACGATCTAATCATCTCAAACGAAAACAAACTGTATCTTCTTCTTGCGTATCAAACAGAGAAAATGTGTCGAGTGCGAAATGAAAACATTTGTCAGAACGAGAATTCCATCTAGGAAGGCATTACGGTATTACGCATACGTATGTATTTACTTGATGAAATGACAACCTAAGCACCGTCTTATCTCCTTAAAACATTTTCGACACGTGGCTGTCGCTTGCCGATAATGAATCATTATATTTTATCTCGTATCGATTATAATCACGATAAAGTCCTCTTGGTGAGTAGTTAAATCTTCGTGACAGCCCAACGTCAGCAGGAAATGTCCGCGTTTATCACACCATTTTTCCGCATGAACTGTACAATGTGTCGTCACGATTTACAGTAATCGTGATGTGTTATTTATCACATGAAGTATTGCGGCAAAAAAGCCCTACATTTTACCCCAATCGTTGTACAACGAGACAGCTCCGTAGCCAAGATCGAATAAGAAAGGACCGATTCGAGAACAGGGCATTATTTATCGCGCAAAACTGATCACTATGTTGATGTCACAGCGTAAAGGCCGAACGAAATGATCGGAAATGGAAAGGCACGTATAGAAGGATGCATCCCTTACCGCAGCACCGATTCCTTTTTCGTTCTCCAAGGAATCATCCTCGCACCTGGTGCCAGACCGATGATAATCCATGTCTTCGGGCCAGTGTCAGCCGGCTGTTAAGAAGACCGTATTACGATCGATCCCGGCGTCCAGCCTTGCGGGAATGTTACGTTTGTCTCTTCTAAATCCGCAACGCCGTCATCCTGCGCCGGCTGTGGCGTGAATATTTTTAACCGAGCGAGGCACGGAGGCACCGAAACCGGCGGCCAGTTTTTCCTCGGCCCGAGCAAACCTTCCCCGTAATCTGTCACCTCTTCGCAGATCCTGCACACGTTCGGTGGTACGCGTTGCTCGTCAAAAGACACGCGCACCAATACCTCTTGCTCTGATTCTCCCCTTTCGGCCTCCCGTTCTCCACCGGCGTTTCCGTCGCTCTCTTTCCTCCCTCGGTTCACCCCTTTCCCTCTGCCTCCTCACCCTCGAAGCTGGTCCCTGGTCTCTCTTCCACTAACTGCTACGTCCTCTCTTCGATTCACCATCAGCCGGGAGTACGTACACGGCCAGCAAAACGTGGAATCGATCGACTGAGTTGCGCCGGCGTCGCGACGCCACCGTGCCACTCGCGTTCACTGCGAACGACTGATGTCACGAATGCGCCCGCGCTCGCCTTTCGATGTATTTTCTTCCTATATCTAACACTGTTTGTCGGTCTCGATTCCCTGTACAGCGACGCGCACGTATAGCGGACCGTCGATGTATCAGTTGGGCGATGAGGGTTCGATCGTTATCGGTTTTATAAAACGATTGTCCACTTAGCATTCGCCGGAGATTACGGAGGTCGCAAGGAAATTTCAACGCAATCACACTTAGAAAAATATGTCATATATTCGTTTATTCCTCCCCTTTTGAATATCTGCTAGCTCTTAATAAATAATTTTTAATGAACCCGTCTCTCTCATTTTAATTTTGAGTATATGTTTTAAGAGCAAATATAATAAACGGTGTACATTATTGATTAACGATGAACACATCCTGCGTAACTGTAGAAAATACTAAATCGTGGGAGTCGAACACGATACCGTTTTTATAAAATTTTTTAATGTAAGGCTTACTTTCTAACTTTGTTTAACAACTGTTTCCTCACAGTTAACAAAATCCTCGGAAGAAAGAGACAATGGCAAACTTTGAAGAATACAGAAAGTAGAACATTCCAAAATTCTTTTATCTTTCTCGTTTTTCTATATCTTATAAATGCTTAGAGCACTTTGTTTCCTAGGGTACAACACGTTACTAAACGATACACTGCAAGGAGCTTAAATCTCTATTTTTAAACCAAATATTTAGAGTAAAAGTGCATGTTCTTCTTTGGTCCAAATATCTATAAATACACCGTTTGTGTTTTCAGTAAGTGGTACCCTGTGAATTTTATTTCGAGACGTTCAACCTGTATAATTATTAACACGATTAATCAGTCCGAGTTTACATAAAAGTACGTACCGTTTGTGAAAACTACTCTACACATCTGCGACTCGTCCGTGTTAACAAGTGCACGCGTGATCGGTCGAGTTCCTACGTTTTGACTTACGCGTGAAACCATACGCGTGACAGAAGACGCAGCAACGTGGAAAATTAACTGTCAGGAAAAGAATTCGGTACGCGCCCCCGGATTAGGTTTCTGACAATTAAGTTGAACTGTTCAATGATCCATTGAATTACTGTACAGTCCTTGATCTTTGGTCACGAGATCTTCATTCATGGTAAACAGAATTAAATCATGTTGTTGTATCAATATATGTATACCATGTCTCCATTCGTTAATACATCAGCTTCTCATTTTCTTCTTCTGAATTACTCCACATTCATTTATTAATTTTCTAATAATTAAATAGAATTAATTGAAGAATGTGAGTATTTTAGTATTTCATACTATCTGTTTATCGATATTGTATATTAACATCAGCTTATGGCTGTTTTTCCATCGGAAGGGAAAGCCAAATTTCTTATTAACAGTGTTCTATTAGCGAATATGAATTTGCTATTCAATGGAAATAACCGATAGAACAATCTTGTTTCAAAACATTTCTCCGATAATATCTTATCTTATCAACTCTTTGTTTTAATTTTAATGCGATATATTTTATGACGCACTTATTGTTAGTTCATTTGTTCCATAAACATTGTTGCGTCAGTAGCTTTGTGCTTCTTGAAAATGTCTTCGAAGGAACGCACGCTGCAGGCGGAAGAGTGAGTCAGGGTAGACCCTTCTTATCACCAACTCGACTGCAAGAAGTGGATGCGGAGGGCATGTAGTACGGGAGTTCACACAATAACCCTTTCAGACAGTATGATAAGATCCTCCTTCCATTTGCTACTGTCCTCAGTCTTATGCTCTACTACAGCAGACACGTCGGAACCACTGCCTGGAGGGTGAGAGCACTTGCACTCCTCGCACTGACTCATGAGCGATCCGAAGAGCCAGGTAAAGAGCAGAAAACGGGGACCATATTATTCTAGCAGTAGATGACGTAGCAGTACCTGTTATCTAATCCTGATCTATCCCACTTCGGTCTCATGAAATTGAAAGAATGGCAGGGATACTCGAAAACAACCCCAGAAAGTATACAGCATGTTTTATTTAGATATCTCAAGGTCTTCATTTGATCCTAATTAAATTATAATATTTAACATCTAACAGAGTTCTAAAATGAATCAGACCGTATCGCTACTACATCAAGATTTTTCGAACAATTTTCCTCCTTAATAAATATGCTATTGTATGTACGATTAACTGATTAGATTGAATTGGAAAGTTGCAAATTCGTCTCTTTATATGGAAACAAAAATATAATGAGGTGTACACTGAAGAAAAGTTGATGAAATGAACATCTTTCTAAAATTATTTTTTAATCTTTCGCCTTGAACTTGACGTAGGCAGAAAAGTCCGTAAATAACGCAGCCAATTAACGATGACGTCGGTGTGAAATTCATCTGGACGTCAAAGCAAGAGCGATGAGTCATCAGACTGATACATGTAGTTCTCTTCTACTTTCCGATAAGCTCATCCCCTGTCTCGTCATCTTAACTTCGATGTGTCAGCATTTTTTATCATAGGTCAACTAGTTTCATCTTCACGCGGTAGCCTTGTTAGTAAAATATGCCAATACAATATATGTATAAGCACAGTATTTTTAAAAACACGTGAAGACTTCAAATGTTTAAAAATAGTCTTTCAAAGGATAATTTAGAATACTCATTGAATTTTTCTGAATTTTTAATAAAAAACTTTGAATTATTCTTAATGGAATATCGAACTACACGTTGTATAATAGCACGAAGTAAGTAATTTTTCCCAAAACCATTTCTCTGATTTATGCAGGTAAATAAGCGTCTTCCCTGTCTGCAGTCTTATGCCACCTGGTGTAAAATCAACCAGTCGTTTGCACACTAGCAGCGGAAAGTACTTACATAACTACAACTACTCACGATACGATTACTTGTTGCACTTACAGCTATTACAAATAAAAAATATGAATAAAAATAAGTGTACGTAGTAGGTATATAAATAGCCTTTGTAAATTAAAAATCAATTAGGAAAGAATATCGATATTAAAAATAAAAATTAATCATAAAAATGTTTTCTCAGTTGTGCTGCGATCGCAACTAAATAGACACGTTCACAAGTTATTATTCTACCTTCAATGTATATTTACGTACAAAATTCCTTCGAGTAAACTACACATAATTATTCTTTCTGTTTAAGGAAGAAGTGAAGGTGAAGAAAAAAAGAGAAACATCATCTAACCAGAAGTGTTACAAAGAACTTGGGCAAAAAAACGGAGAAACTTCATCTTCTCCATATCATGAATATAAGTGTTGATCCTCCTGGTTTTTCATACTGTTTCCGGTTAGCGGATATCCACCATGAAACCAGCCGGCATAACGGAGAACAATGGGAAGCGGATATAATAGGAGGAAAGAGCAAGAACTACGCTCGAGTGAATTGGTATCGATGATGAACTTAACAATTAATTACTTTCACGTATGACGGTCAGTCCTCATCGAGAACGTAAACCTGGCTGCGACATTCTTTTGCAGAGTAATTAAAGCGTATTGTATCAATCACGTTGCAAACTTGCCTCCCAGGTCATGTTTAAATAAAGCTACGCTTCATACATATACAGTACATCCTCCATCCTTTATTTTTTAATCAAAGAATAATAGTATTATTTTCGAAAGTATGTATTTATACAAAATATTCTTTACTTTATTCCATCGACTTAGATTCCATGAATTTTCTGTGCCACTCAACCAATGGTAACAAATTGAGAAGGTTAAATAGATCAAGAGTTCAGAGTTAAGACATTTAGGGACTTAAATTTAAGCTCAAGGTAATCGCGTTAAAATCTATTATAAGAACAGATAAGATGAGATAATTATCACGTATGAAAGTAACCATGAGATGTATATTTATTTAATTAGTTTTTATCGAATCCTAAGTAAATTATAAATAGTTTCGACTTGGTGCAATTTAAAGGCTATATTATGTGCTCGCGAGGGCAGAGAGGAAGTACGTCTTTTGCAAGAGTCAACCGAAGCTAAAGAAAGAGCACAGTAGGTACGTAGACCTTCACTAAAGTATGCAAATTCCGTAATCCTACGTGTCCGGTTCTCTACAGGCAATCGAGCAATGTAATTGTATGTGTCCGACGAACAATACCATAATACCATTGCACAATTGTACATTAGGAAATGTGACAAAAATTTAATATTGAATAAACTTCTTAAAAAATACATACATGATATTCTACGGTTCATAGGAATAGCATATGTAAGAAATAAAACTACCTGAGGTATTTTCAAGATCAATGTGAAACGCGATGAAAAATTCGATTGAATGAATACATCATCAACACCGAAACAGATTCATATCGCTATACGTATTTGCACAATTTAAGGATGTACTGGCTATACAGTCAATCCCAAAAGTTTATGTATCTTAGAAAAACGCATTTCCTATAAT